GATTCACAGACCTGTACCCCTGGGGATAAAAATATATTATATGTTTATAAAAAATAAAAAAAAATTAAATTAAAAAAAAACGAACAAAAAGTAGATGTTTCAAGAATTCTTTTTTGTTCATTGGCTCCAGACTCCACCCCACCGAACCTCACTGATAGTCTAAAACTTCATCAGAGGTAGGAAAAGTTGCATTCCAAGCCATACTTGTGTCCTAAGCCACATTCAATCAAGTTCCACCAGGAAAGGGGCCACATAAAAGGAAGATCACATTCAGAATCTACTTTTCTAGATAGAATGGCAGGAGGTGATTGGGCTTTTTAGGAGTAGTAACAGCAGCAAAGCTCCTAGCAGTAAAATTCTGTGGTTGGCGTGCCATGCTCAGTGCCCCCTGCTCTGTGTGGCTGCTGCATCCACACCACCAACGGGGTATGACGTTTAGGTTCTGGTCTTGGCTCTAGAGTTTCTGAGCTTGATTCACTGGTTCTGAGTTTCTCAAAATTTTGTGAATTTCACAATACCTGTAACCATTTGACTGTTTGTTTTAACTAGCTAGAGTTAGTTCTGTTGTTTGTTTGCACCTGAAAATCTTGATTTTCTTGGGTAGACATTTCTTTTTTTTACTGTAAGTTAATAAAGGGCATTCTGGTTTTCCTAATTCTAGTTCACTCTGGTACACTGATGAGTTCCAGGTTTCTGAGTACATGAGGTAGAAACTTTCATGCCCAGGATCCTAGATAGTGGCTTTTACCTTGCTCTGATAGTTCCTTCACACTATTCAGGAACCTTTAATGACTTACTATTGTCTATGGGAAAAATTCCAGACCTCAGACTCTCGTATTGAAGGTTTTTCACTTTCTGGTTCTACTTTTCTACTGTATTCCCAATATTCTAACACCACTACCAATTTGCAATGTTTGCTCTTCTCTTTGATTTTTTTTTTTTTTTTTTTAACTCTGGCCACTACTTATACTATTCTCTCTGCTTGCAGGGATCTTACATTTCTGTCTACCAGAATCTTGCTCATCATTCAGGACTCTATTCAGATTACATTTCTTCAATGAAGACTTTACTAATGACTCACTGCAGAAATATTGCTTCATCATCTGAAATCTTCTCTGCATTGAGAGCATCCTTTCTATTATGACTTGGCCTAATGAATGTATGTCTACTCAGACGTCTTCCTAAGTATATTGTTGACTCAAAGACCAGACCATATCTCAGCATCCATTTTGTTTCTTCTGTATAACTGACATTGAATTTTGGATATGGTAGATGCCAAAAGTCAATGAAAAAATTAATTAGTGAACTGCTCACAATAGACACACTATCTGTCAAAACAGAAAAAAAAAAAGCTCCCTTTAGAGATACATGGGAACTCTGCTAGAGCTTCAGGATTGGGGTGTGCTGTGGACCATCCATAGGAACACAGCTCTTCAGCAGTTTAACTTATAACCTTAGAGACACATGCACTTATGGTGTTGGAAGAATATGTTCAAAGCATGTTCAATGCTAAACTATGGGTAAGTGAAAAGGTTTGTCCTTCCTTTAACATGCACCCTCACATACAGACTCATTAGTGGGTAAGGGTCTTTCAGAAGAGTTAGAAGAAGAGTCTGAAGAATCTAAAGTTTAAAGTCCTGGTTTTTCTCTAGTTTTGCTTCTGTTGCAAATTAAATGAGTGACCTTGGGTAAGTCATCTATCTTTTCTGGGCCTTAGTTTCTTTGCCTAAAAATTGGATCATGATAATGTTTTGATTGCTCAGAGACCAAATAAGATAGAAACACCTTGGAGACAGAGGGGGCAGATGGGGCTAGAAGTCAGTGGGAAGAGAGAAGGAGAGTAGTAGGAAAGGGAAGTAAATATGGGGGGCAGGAGGGATAGAGAATGGAATCAAACTGGCCTAGAGGCACTATAGGTGGAGGGGGACCTCTTCCATCTGAAAGACAAGAGGGAGTTTTTCTGAAACTGTTTCTCAGGGCTACAGCAGACTGCTATTCCCATACCAAAATTTTGTTCTCCCCTCCCTTGCACTAGCAGAACCCTTGGATTGTTAGGGGGAGCCACCTTGGAAAGAGCAAGTATTTTTTCATGTGTTGCTTTTCTCTCAAGCCTAGGTCTGGGAGTCTAGAGAGACACTTGCATATTGTAGACATTCTGCATTCCTTGGAGAATCAGCGCTGTCCAAAGAACAATTGTGAAGTTTCTCATAAAAAAATAATCAGTCAAAAAACAACAACAAAAACAGCAAAAAACATGGTTTGGAACAGAGTTTAAATAAGTCACATGAGACTGGGGCCTTTTTATGGCTTAGGGTATGAAAAGATCTCTTTTCACCTGTTGTGTCCTGGAGAAAGCCTTTTCCTTCTGTGTTCTTTCTTTCCTTCCCTCCTTCCCTTCCTTTCTTCTCTTGCTCCCTTCCTTCCTTCCTTCCTTCCTCCATTCATTCCTTTACTCTCTCCCTTCCTCTGACCCCTCCCTCCTTTCCTTCCTTCCTTCCTTCCTTCCTTCCTTCCTTCCTTCCTTCCTTCCTTCCTTCC